TGCCGGGCATCGAGGAGCTGCTGGTGAGCGGGCGGCACCCCAGCATGCCGGCCTTCCCCGCACTGCTCACTGCTGCTCCCGGCCACCGGGCCCATCAGACCTGCCCTGACGGTGAGTGTGTGCACAGGTGGGTGGGCTGTCCCTGTACTCCACCCACCACCACCTCCTTCCCCTTGTCGCCACATAGATCCCTGTGAAGACCCAGGACCTCTCCCTCCTGTCCAGCTGGCCAAAAACTGGACCTTCCCCAATGCCAGGGCAGCCGGTGGCTCCACTGACCCTTTCCTGTGCCCACCCCGACAACTGGAGGGGCTGCCCAGGACCCCCATGGTGAGCATGGTGGGAGGGGAAAGGGCCTAAGACTGGCGGGCAGCGGGGTAAGGGAGAGACCAGTGTTTCCTGTGAGGTACAGCCCTTCCTGGAGGAAGACGGAGTGGAGAGCCCCTTGGATGCCCCTCTGAGCAGCCCACCCACCTCCCTTCTTTTTTTTTTTTTTAATACGTTTTTATTAATTTCAGAGAGGAAGGGGAAAGGGAGAGAGGGAGGGAGGGAGGAAGGAAGGAGGGAGGGGGGGAGAGAGAGAGAGAGAGAGAGAGAGAAGAAACGTCAATGATAAAAGAACCATTGATCAGCCGCCTCCTGCCCCCTACATGGGATCGAGCCCTCAACCCGAGCACATGCCCTGACCAGGAATCGAACTGTGACCTCCTGGTTTATGGGTCGACACCCAACCACTGAGCCACACTGGCCAGGCCCCGTCTCTCTTCTTACACCTCTCCGGAAAGGGTTTCTCTCCTTCCACAGAACCGTGGTAGGGCTGTGCTCAGTCATGCCTCCAGCCAGCTTCCTCTGCGTGCACCCGTCCGTGGTGGGCCCCATCTGCAGAGCCCCCGTGCCCGGGGCACAGCCCAGGCTTTCAGGCAGGGCCAGGGGATGAGAGAGCTTCCTCCTGAGCCTCCCTTCCTTGCCCAGGCCCTGCCTGTGGACCGGAAGCGGAGCCTGGAGCGCAGCCGGCCAGCCACTGCCACGCCCCCGGGCCCGGCGTTTGGGGGTAGCCGTACTCCCAGCACATCGGACATGGCTGAGGAAGGCAGAGTGGCCAGTGGGGGCCCCCCAGGGCTGGAGACCTCCGAGTCTCTCAGCGACTCACTCTACGACTCGCTCTCCTCCTGCGGGAGTCAGGGCTGAGGAGCTGCGCCTCGCCTCGGCCCCTCTCAGACACAGCCTGGACCGCTCTCCTCAGGCCCTGCCCCCTCAGGGCCATGCGGCTCCTCCCTGCAGGGACCAAAGAGGCAGATGGACCAGAAGGTGAAGGGGGCGCCTGGCACCCCCCTGCCCTCCGCTGCTGTGGAGGAGATGACCACTCTCAGCTCAGGGAGAGACCCCACCTTTGGTCCTTCCTCTCACCCAGAGTCAGGCTCTTCCTCGGAGGGACTGGGTTCCAGGCCGCTGCCCCAGCCCTAGCTCCTACTTCAGGCTGAGCCATCTCGTGGTGCTGGGCTTCCTGCCCGCCAGCTGTGCCATCTCCGCCAACCTGGCTGCTCCCTGCCCCTAGCCCCTACGGGGCCAGCTGGAGGCCCCGCGCTGGTGGAGTTTGGGGGCGAGGGGTCAAGTTGCCTTCTCTCTCATCTGCCCTGGTCCTCCTTGCTGTCTGGATGGTGCTGCCCTCCCCTGTCCCATGTCTTTGGGGTCATTTGTCAGTCTTTGTTGTTGTTTTTTTTATACATTAAAGCACATGGCCCAATCCCCACTCCCCACCCTCATCCCGCACTGCGGTTAATTTATCTGTCGTTACAAATGCGGCTGCTCTGCTTCCAGCCTCTGCTTCTGCAGTATCCCTAATAAAACATGAAGGCCCCGCTGTACCCCCGACTCGACTTGTTCTGTGGGAGGACACAGGGATGGACAAGTGGGTGGAGACTGTGGGCACCAGGGGGAGGGGGTGTGGGTCAGACTGTCTTAGGCGCCCTGTGAAGCAACCCACCTTCCAGGGGATCTGGCTGGGGTCACCTAGAATTGAGGGACGGGTCTGCTTAGGCCTGGGTTGGGGAGAGTGCCCTGGTTCAGGGCTTGAGCAGGGTAGCCGTGGGCAGGCACTTAAACCCTGTACACATGAAATGAGGTAGGCCCTCCAAATTCTGAGCTCCAGGGGCTGGAGGGTAAGCAGAGTTAAGTGTCATCTCCTGTTACCATAAAGGGAGGCAACTGGATCCCAAACCGTTGCCACCTTCTAATTTTTCCTCAGATCTTGGGCTTTCCCAGATCGTGCCTCTGTTCTACCTCATTTCAGCCAGCAGTTCCCATGGCTCTCACTTTAGGAAGGGAGGCCAGGAATGAGGCTGTGCAGAAGGGACTTCCAGGAGTTATTTCAGACTCCACATGGCATGAGGACAGAGGGTAGTGCCGCCCTCCAGCTCTTGGATTACTTGTTGGGCCTGGAGCTGGGCAATGATCTGAAGGTGAACCAGGTGGCAACCAGCTCATCTCACATTGGTCAGCTCCTGCCCACCTGGTTGCGAGGTGCAGGGTGATTCTTCCGCGCCTGCCTGACATAGCCTACATGTGCTGCCTCCCTGTGGCATACAGTCTGGAGGCCGCCTGGGCAGTATCATGCTCGGTACTCCTGGCCTGAGGCTGGGACTCGAGACACTTCATCGTGGGCACAGGGGCCTGTAAGAGACACGTGGTGTATTGACACCACAGTTGAGCCGAAGCACATTCACAACTCAGTTATACTGTGGACACTGTCCTGGCGCTGACGAGCCCAGGAAGATTGGGAGTGCGGAGGGTGTCGGCACCTCCTTTTACACTAGCTCCTTCCATCAGTCTCTCCAGCCTAGTGCTCCGGAGAGAGTGGTAAAAAGAATTCCCCATTAAAGTAAACACCTACCATATTGCTGGCCCTCTGATCCCTAACCCCCACCATAGCCCAGCTGGGGGAAGCACCATCATCCTCATTTCACAGACTTCCAGGCTCAGAAACATGCCATGGTTGCCCAAGGCTGAGAAGTGATGGAGCCCTGAGAGAGTAGTTCCTTTTTGGGTGTGTGGCTTTGCTTTCTTCTGGACTTTAATCTCTTCTTCCTTTTCTGGCCTGTGGATCCCTCCTGATGTGCTGGGTGGAGAGCAATGGACTGGAAGTCAAGGGTTTTAGCCACTAAGTCTGGTTTTATGGGGAGAGTTGCCTTCCTTCTCCAGGCCTTGGCTTTCCTTACCAACGGAGGATTAGGAGAGTGAGCCAGACCAACTGGTCCCACTAGCTCTGCTCTTCTCACCTCTCCCTCAGTCTGGCCTCTCTCCTATTTCCCTTAGTTTATGTCATCATTGAAGAAATTAATAAGACTTAGAAAAAGGTCAAGTCAGATGTCTTGGTTTTCTTTAAATACCAGAATCCTGCACTTGCTAGTGTAGCTCAGTTGGTGGTGGGTGTGACTTCCGGTCAAGGTACATACCTGGGTTGTGGGTTTGATCCTCAGTCGGGGTGCACGTGGGAGGCAGCTGATCAGTGCCTCCCTCCCTCTCTCTCACCAATCAATAAAGACATATCATCAGGTGAGGATTAAAAATATGTATGTTAAAGCCCTAGCCAGTTTGTCTCAGTGGTTAGTGTTGGCTTGCAGACTGAAGGGTCTAGGGTTCAATTCCGGTCAAGGGCATGTACCGTGGTTGCAGGCTCAATCCCCAGTAGGGTGCGTGCAGGAGGGGGCTGATCAATGTTTCTCTCTCATCGAGGTGTCTGGCTCTCTGCTTCTCTCCCTTCCTCTCTGTAAAAATCAATAAAATATAATTTAAAAAATAAAAAAAAATTTAACCCTATTTCCCCAATATTATTGTTACTAATAATATCTAAGTTCAAAAAAGGAGACAATAAAGTGAAACAAAATAATTTTACAGCAGACAGATGCTTGTAGAGGAGCCCAGGGAAGAGGTGAGAATTCACCTGGGACAGCATGTACAGTGAACTCACACCTGGTAGGAAGTAAGGACAGATTAAGGAAAGAACTCACCAATCAATAAAGACATATCATCAGGTGAGGATTAAAAATATGTATGTTAAAGCCCTAGCCAGTTTGTCTCAGTGGTTAGTGTTGGCTTGCAGACTGAAGGGTCTAGGGTTCAATTCCGGTCAAGGGCATGTACCGTGGTTGCAGGCTCAATCCATGCCACCTCCCACGCCCACCCCTACCCCAAAATCAGGGCATGTGCAGGAGGCAACCAAACTATGTGTCTCTTTCACATCAATGTTTTTCTCTGCTCTCCCCTTCTACTCTCTCTAAAAGTAATGAAAAAAATGTCCTCGGTGAGGATTAACTATATATCTATCAGAATCCCACTTTCTTACTTCCGTCTTCTACTTTCAGGTTCCTATCCCACTATGCCTTCTGCTTTTATGGGCTTAAGTATGATATTATAAGCTGCAAATTCCTGCTTCTTGCCAGGCGGGCTCAAGGAAGTCTACATCATCCTTCTCCTAACTTACTATTTCTTGGTTCTTCATGACCTTTTGACCCTAATGGATTACATCATTGCCTTGTTAGAACAGAATTGTTGGCCTGCAGGATATTTATCCTATTTCCTTTCAGGAAAGAAGCTTAGCATCTGACTCTGGATTCCACCTTTTACAAGCTGAGACCAATGGGTGCATCCATGTTTGTGTCACCAGGGTCTGGTCAGTCTGCTACCAGGTTCTGTTATCCAGGGCTTGTAAATGCAAGTGTCACCTTGTCCCTGGGGCAGTGTGGGCTGACTGGGGAAATGACTGTCAGTCACCAAAGCAGGGTGGCATCAGCCATATCTGGAGCCAGCTCTTCCCCACCAACTGTTCCAAGGTGGGCAGCTCATTTTCCTAAGTCCTCCATCATGCTCCTAAAGGGTGCTGCGCCCAAGTGAGCCATCCTGCAGCCCTCATAACTGTGCCTGCCACACAGACCAGATATTCCATCTGAAGTCATTCTGTGGGGGGGACACACAGGTGAGTTACAGATACTCCTGGGGAACTGATTTCTCCTTGTACTTCAAGGCTGAAAGACACCTGAACCTCCCTTTGCAGAGCACTGCATACCTCAGTTTGCCAAGTATGCTTCCCGGTAAGGTGACCTCAGTGCTTTCTCCATGAACAGTGGGCGAATGTTTGCTTCATCACTCAGGGTGACCCTTCTGGATTTCCCAAACAGGGAAGCCAAAACTGCCAGCCCCCCTACTCCATTCCCCCAAATGACATCAAGGCATCAGCAAAAGACTACAAAAGGTTTCAGGTTCCACCTCACTGTGAACCCTGCCTTTTATAGGAATGTCCCAAAATGTTAATTGAGGTTTCATCTGGGTTGCCAGTGGTTTTTATTTTATTCTTTACCCCTTTCTAGACTAATATGTTTTGTTTTCTTTTTTTTTCTTTTTTATAAATTTTATTGATTTTTTACAGAGAGGAAGGGAGATAGAGTTAGAAACATCGATGAGAGAGAAACATTGATCAGCTGACTCCTGCACATCTCCCACTGGGGATGTGCCCGCAACCCAGGTACATATCCCTGACCGAATCGAACCTGGGACCTTTCAGTCCGCAGGCCGACCGCTCTATCCCTGAGCCAAACCGGTCTCGGCATCAAATCATTTTTTTAAATACACACACACTATGTTTATGTCGACCTTTTATTAGACAGTGAGATTATTCTGCAGTTATTGATCTTTTTCTTTCAGCACTTACTATGTCTTGGAGATCTTCCCAAAGCCCATGAAGCTCCATGATCATACACGGTCTTCCATTGTATGGATTTGCCATGTTTATTTCTTTTGCCAAGACAAACAATGCTGCAGTGGACATTGCACATGTGTCTTTGTCCACTTGTGAATTTCCATAAGAATAATCCCTACAGATGGAATTGCTGGGTCATACAGTATGTTTATTTTAAATGTTTCATAGATATGAACAAGTTGCACTTCATCAACAATGTACAAGCGAGCCCTGGCTGGTGTGGCTCAGCTGGTTGAGTCTTGCCCTGTGCACAGAAGGGTTGCTCTGGGCATGTGCACTGGTTGTGGGCTACATCCCCAGTGCGGGGCGTGCAGGAGGCAGCTGATAGATGTACTCTCACATGGCTGTTTCTTTCTCCCTCTCCCTTCCTTTCTCCCTGAAATCAATAAAAACCCATTTTTTAAAAAGACTCTACTATTAAAAAAAATGTATAAGAGAAACTGTCTTTCACATTATTAAGTATTATCAAAGCTTTTATTTTTAGCCAATTTGGTTGGAGTAAGTGATCGCGTAATTTGTAGCCCAATGTAGGGACTTTGCTTTTAGTCAGAGTTAATCTGGGGGCCATTAGAGAGTGATAAGAATAGAATGTAGAGAGCAAGTATGGAAGCAAACCAGTAAGGAGACCTCTTGGGTAACTGCAACAAGAGATGGTAGTGACTTGTTCCAGGGTGGAGACACTATAAACAAGATTTGCGAATGTCATGGGTACAAGGAAAGGAGAAGAGTCGAGGACAACTCCAAGCTGTTTGGAGTGACCAGTAGGAAGAAGTTGCCATTAACCAATATGGGGAAATGCTAAACATGTTAAACTTGAGATATCTATTGGACAACATCCAGCGGAAAATGTGGAGTAAGCAGTGGTTATGGAAGTCCAGAGTGTAGGAAAGAAACCTGGGCTGGAGAGCTAAATTATAGTAAGCCACCAGCATATGAATGTTACTTAAAGCCGGGGGACTGGATGAGATCACCAAAGGAGTAGGAAAAGGAAAGCTCTGAGTCCTAATTCTGGAACATTCCAGTTCTTTAGGCAAAATGAGAGGTGTGCAGCCCTAGCCAGTTTGGGTCAGTGGATAGAATGTCGACATGCAGACTGAGGGGTCCCAGGTTCGA